CTCCCCCCCCCTCTCTTTCTCTCCCCACGATGCAGCACGCGCAGGAAGCGGGACAGGGCCAGCGGCAGCACCGCCAACCCCCGGCGTCGCCCGCCCCGCCAGCAGCAGCGGCGTCCCCCCCCTCCGGCCTAACAACGGGCAGGACACTCCCGCCGCCGCCGCCGCCGCCGCCGCCGCCGCCGCCGCCGCCGCCGTTGGCAAGAAAAAGCCTGCAACACCCGCAACAGGCACCAAGAGAAAGGGAAAGCTCCGCCTACCGTCCGCGAAGACGAAGGGCGTCTCCGGTAAGGGCGGGGGTGAGGACGCCGCCCCAGCGGTGGCGACCTCAGCCGCCAATGCAGCAGCAGTCAAATCTCCCAAATCTACGACGGTGAGATCTCCGAAGGCTGGGGCGGAGAGCAAGAAGAAGAAGCACGCGAGCGTGTGGGAAGGGTGTGGGTTTACCAGCCTGGGGGAACCTCCCAGCGCTGCATCGGCTCCCGTCGACGCTGCTGATGATGATGAGGACGCCGCTACGGTCGCTTCCGCTGCGGGTGCCGTGGCTGCTGATATCGCTACGGGTTCTGGCGCTGCCGGTGCGGTAGGTGCTGCTGATGATGCTGCGGAGTCTCCCGCTGCGGATGATGATGTTGCTGATGGGGACGCCAAGGTTGGCCCAGGACAGGAGGAGACCAGCGATTTATCATCACCATGCCCAGTGGAGCCATCGTCAACGGGTCGGGAGAGGCGAGCAGCGAGCGAGGGGGGGGGACACGCGGAGAGTGCCCGCTCCGACACACCGGGGGGGGGTGCCGCTGCTGCTGCTGCTGCAACTGCTGGCGATGAGCCACACTGGTTCCAGGACGACAATGACGGCGGCGTGCCGGCCGTATCGGAGCGGCTTTTACCCTCGGGCACCATGCCCGCAAGGCAGAACGACGACCTCGGAGGCGAAGGCGGCGATGCTGCCGTGCTGGGCGCGGCAGCGGTAGCGGTAACGACGGCGTCGGCGGCGGCGGCGGAAGGAGCGGCACCGCCAGCGGTAGCAGCGATAGAGCAGACGGTAGCGGCGGCGGTGACGGAGGAGGTGGTGCCTAGAGCCTCGGACACGGAGACAGGAAGAGCGGGCCGGGACCGAGAGAACGGCTGCGACGTGCCCGTCGCGGCCGATCCAGGGACACCCGAATCGACACCAGTTCCACCGCCTCCATTGGCGGCCGCTGCAGACGGAGATGACCCCGAGGTTACTACCACTGCGGTAGCTGGGGATGGAAGTGTCGCCGGTGCCGCCACCGCCGGTGATTCGGTTATCAGCGATACTGATGTTGTCCTTGCTGCTGCTGCTGCTTCTGCTGCTGCTGCTGGTAGCGGCGGCATTCCTACTGCCGGTGGCGCTGGTGCTTCTCCTCGTGCCGCGGGTGCTGCTCCTCCTGCTGCTCGTGGTGCTGCTCCTCCTGCTGCTGTTGGTGATGCTGTTGGTGATACTGTTGCTGCTACTGTTGCTGCTAGTTCTGCTGCTGGTGGTGCTGGTGCTGTCGCTCCTGTCGCCAGCCCCGAAGGAACGGCGGCGGTGGCGTCTCCCGTAGGCCGGGTGTCCAAGCGCGTCGCCGCCCGGGCGGCAGAGCAGGCCAAGGCGGCGGCGGCGGCGGAAGCAGAGGCGGAGCTGGCGGCGGCGGCCCTGGAAGCGAAGGCGCGCCGCAAAGAGGCCGCTGCCGCGGCGAAGAAGAGCAAGAAGAAGGCTTCCAAGGCGGCGGTGGCGGCGACGACGACGATCATCTCCGGAGATTCCCCACCGGTGGTCTCCGGAGATTCCCTCCCGGCGTCACACAAGAAAGGTATGTTTTGGGGCGAACTCGATGCTGATCTCCGGAGATACCCCAACGGTGGTCTCCGGAGATTCCCTCCCAACACCACACAAGAGAGGTGTGTTTGGGGGGACAGTGCCTGCTACGATATTGGAGGAGGCATGACAAGCCGAAATCGTTCCCTTGTATCCGTACTTTTTTTCTTATGCCGATTCTCTTTTGCCGGACTTGTAGCCGGCACTGTGTACTCGGCCCTCTCGATACGGATCTAGTGGGTTCCGGGTATGGGTATGAATCATTGGCGGTATTACTATTGGGGAAGGGGGCGGTATTACTATTGTCCCACTTCTGTAATGCCTGCATGGGCAAGTATGCCCTGCCTGCCCTTTCTGTATTTCTTAAATTCCTATTGCTCTGCGTTTCGGACCAACCCCCGCCAAGGGGGCGCATACACTGCTTACTCTCTACCACTCTCTCTAGTATGTACCATGGGCCTGGAACAAACCTGTTGCTCTGCGCTTCTGACAACAACCTGCCATGGACAAGCAAGCCCTGCTAACTCTCTCCGACTCTCTCTCTCTCTCTGTCTCTGTCTCTGTCTCTGAACAATACCGCTTGCTCTACCCTTCTGACCAACAACACAACGTCAGGGGTCACCACCGGTATGACTACTTCCACGGAAGGCGTTCCGCATGGCCCCAAGACCCGCGTCATACCGGGGAACATACCGCCGGCTGCTGGAACGGCGGGGAATCCCGCCAAGCTGGCCTCGATCTTCCTTCCCAGGGCGGGCGGCTGGGGGGGCGCGGCGCCTGCGGCGGGTCCCAAGCTGGCGCCGCTCTTCATGCCCAAGAGGAAGCCTAGCCCTGAGACTTTTAGCGGCGGCGGCGGCGGCGGTGGCGGTAGTGGCGGTAGTGGCGGTAGTGGCGAGAAAGAGGAAGAGAAAGAGGAAGAGGAAGAGAAAGAGAAAGAGAAAGAGAACGAGAAAGAGAAGAGCGGACGGAAGAAGGCTTCTCTTCCTTCTGCGGTGACTCCTCCGAGCATAGAGGTACGATGACACCACACGCTCTGGACCATGAGTACACGCAGTTTCCACGATGTCGTCGCCGACCGTGCTTTGCGTGTTTGGCCTCTTAGCCAGACACAGCCGAATTTGGTTTTGTTTAGAATATGGCGGGCATTTTGGTGGTTGCGGCCCATCTACACCCCGTCGCGTGCTGTTAGTTGCTGCAACATGGGAGTCGCGTTATGCATTTGCCGGATTTAAAGTCCGATGGTCGCATGGAAAATCAAAGGAAAAGTACCGCCGGAGGGGCGGGCAGGGGCCGTAAGGGAGAAGAACCCTTCTGTATGACCACGGGTTGGAAAAACATCATAATTGCTGTGAGCGCTGATTTGACCTGTGTACCTCTCTACATACCCGCAGATCATGGACGTAGACAACGAGGACGACGACGAGGAGGTCGTAGTCGCCACTGTCCTGGAAGCGAACTCCAGCACCAATGTCGGCGGCAGCAACAGCAGCGGCAGCAGCAACAGCAGCCGCGGCGGCAGAAGCAAAAGAGCGTCGGAATCCGGTGCCGGAGGTGGTGAAACCGTCGACCTGGCGGCAGGGGGGCACGCAGACGACAACGAGGATGGTGACGGGGGGTGGAAGGAAGCGTTGGCGGCAGCGGCGGCGGCGCCAGTTAAGCCCCGTTCCAAGACGGTCACGGCCATGACGGACGATCAGCTTCTGTCTGCTGTAGAGTGAGTGCCGCTGCTGCTGCTGCTAGTGCACTGATTGCAGCGTTTGCTGCCTCTGGCGTTGTTATTTTGTGTGTGTGTTTTCAGCCATCGTCCTTAAGTCATTTTTGGTCAGCCGTCGTGCTGCCGTTGTCCTCTGTCTTTCTTGTCAGAAGATGCTGCCGTTGTCCTCTGTCTTTCTTGTCAGAAGATGCTGCCGTTGTCCTCCGTCTTTCTTGTCAGAAGATGCTGCCGTTGTCCTCTGTCTTTGTCACGCATGAGCTCTTGTGGTACGCGCCTTTTTTTTCTTTTTTGGCGAAGAGAGCGAAGTTGCAGCTGGATGAGAGTTTTTGGCTTGTTCGTCGGGGCCGAAGGATCCCCCCCTCCCCCCTCACCCTTCTCCATCGCCTCCTCTCGCTGGAAACCCTTGACATTATTCTCTTGGTGATGGAGGATACCACTGCCCCCCCCGCTCTCTCCTTGTCTCCTCTACCCGGGATTCCTCACTCGACACGTTCTTGACGGTGAAGGAAGAAACCCTCCGCCCTGCCATTTGGAAACCCTCAGCGTTTTCTTCGATGGCATCGTGTTCGCGATGGAGAAGGATTGACCCCAACCCTCCTCCCCTCCCCTCCTCTCTGCCTGGAAATCCTCACCCAGCATGTTCCTCACGACCGACCAGCGCAAGCGCAAGGAAGCGATCAAGAGGGACCAGGCGAAGAAGCGCAAGGACATTGACGCGGCCAACAAGCTCTTGAGGGACAGGGCGCAGAGGGACTCCTGGGCCCACTCCGCCGGTTCCTTCTCCCCAGGTAAAATAAAGTAAAATAATGAACCGCCGCGAATTTCGTGCGGGGGGGGGGGGGGG